TTTTGGCACTACTTGGTTGGTACAAGCGAGACAAGCATCGAGTTAACAGGCTCCCAGTTGTCCTTTTCGGGTCCTGTTGACAAATGGATCCAACTGAGTCAATACGGACTGCTGCTTAGGGGATAGCATTAAGGGAAGATGACCAGAAATCCCAGTGCTGTTGTCAGGGCTAATTGTGCAAGATCTATCCACAATCTATCCACAATCTATCTACAACCTATCCGCGATCTACTGAGGATCTATCCACATTCTATCCACGATCTATCTAAGATCTATCCTCAAACTATCCACGATCAATCTACCATCTCTTCACGATCTATTCAGTATCTATCCACATTATATCCACAATTAACGCATGATCTGTCCATGATCTATCATTGATCTCTCCCCAATCTCACCACGATCAATCCATGATCTATCCAAAATCTATCCACAATCTATCTACAACCTATCCGCGATCTACTGAGGATCTATCCACATTCTATCCACGATCTATCTAAGATCTATCCTCAACCTATCCACGATCAATCTACCATCTCTTCACGATCTATCCACATTATATTCACAATTAACGCATAATCTGTCCATGATCTATCATTGATCTCTCCCCAATATTACCACGATCAATCCATGATCTATCTAAGATCTATTTAAGATCTATCCACAATCTATCTACAACCTATCCGCGATCTACTCAGGATCTATCCACATTCTTTTAACGATCTATCTAAGATATATCCACAACCTATCCACGATCAATCTACCATCCCTTCGCGATCTATTCAGGATCTATCCACATTGCATCCACAATTAATGCATGATCTGTCCATGATCTATCATTGATCTCTACCCAATCTCTCCACGATCAATTGATGATCTATGTAATATCTATCCACAATCCATCTGCAATCTATTCGCAAGCTACTCAGAATCTATCTATTATCTATCCACAAGCTATCCACGATCAATCTGCAGTCTCTCCACGATCTATACACGCTCTATCCACGACCAGCCCATATAATATCCACGCTCTACCCACCATCTATCTTCGATCTATCCACACTCTATTTACAGTCAATCCACACCTCGGTCTGACGCATTCAATGCCTTCTATCGCCATCAAGCACTCTTACTCTGGAAACCCTATTTCGCATTCGCGAATTTGCTCACTTTGAAGGAGACCGCCGAAGAAGAGGCACTGCAGGTATTCCCGTTCTCGCATGAAGCCACGCAACGGGCTGGCCCATCCCTCAGACAGCACTTGGATCCATTGGAGTTCGATTGTGGTGAGACTGAGCTTCGGCAGACCTCCAGCCTCCCGTTTAGCCAATTCGACACCGGTGGACTTAATGAAGAGTTCTCTCGGAGTGAAGGCTGAAGAGACGAGATCGTCTTGTCTGAGGACAATCTGGCTCCGGAGAGCACGAAGAGAACCAAATCGCAAATAGGTTATGTAACAAGAAGATAGTTAGCAGTAAAATGAGCAATAATCGCAAATATCGTGAATTTTAATGCAGTTCATATGGCGTTATCTTCGGACTCGGACTCGAAGGCAATTCAACAAGGATGCACAAAAAGCCCACCATAAGCAGCTATACGCCATTACAGCTGTACTGATTGTCTCGAAAATTAATTACTATTACCAGATACAGAATAGGTTCGCCTCAAAAGTGGCGAAATAAATGTTGAATATGCAAGGAATGGTCTGACTTCATTTTCCCGTCTTGGTCGTCTTGTGAGGGGGCCTAGTTGGACGCACCCTGTCCGAGGTCCTCTATCATATTAATTATCATGATTCCCAGCCTTGGACCTTGGATTCGGTACATTCCCAGACGTTTCGCCGACATCGTAGTCGCCATTCTTAGCAGCCAACTGCAACCCGTCAAAGAAACAAACGAAATCAATCTCTCGACCTACTTTCTGTTGAACAGTTGTGCAATCACTCCTTTTCCCTCCTGGCCCATCTATCTACTCTCCCTATCCCTATCCTTTCATCTTACTCTCGCACTCTTTTACAACTCCTGACTTGTTTACATTCCACCGCTCAAGAGGTGTTGCCTTTTTGGCGATTTTAGTCCGGCATCATCACACCTCTCCATTCAGCCATCCAACTCAGGCCTCCTATCCGGATCTCCTGAATGGCTCTGGAGATTCGTTTTTTATCTTTCTGGTTGACTAGTTTCATTC